TTTTTAAAAAAATACTTTTAAGCTTGCTTCACAAAAAAAATTAAAAAAATTACCTTCTGTATTCATTCATGATGATGTTTCTGAAAACCTCCTTGGAAACGACATTAAATGCCTCTATTATTTCATAAGAATCAGCCTCAGAAATCTTTGCTGTAACACAAAGCAAAATTTTGTTTTAGCAATGAACAGAATACAATTTTTTCCCCAAATGCAATATAGATACTGGGCAACCCGTTTACAATGTGGTCATCTAGGTTCAATGTCTCTGTGGCCAAGTTATAAGCGAAGCACAGAAAAATGGCCAACTTCTGGATTTTTTTAAGTTTTTCGTGCTGAAATGACTTTTTGCATGCATTAAATATATACTTTTTATCAGTAGCATTTTCTGCACAAAGCTCACAAATGCAGTGCACAGGAAACAATATTAGCAGCATTTCCTGTGCAGGAAGTGACATCAGCCTCAATCCGACAACCTGGAAGTTGGCCATTTTTTAAATAGAGGGAGCCAGGTAGTCAGTGCTGGGACACAAGGTGGATCTTGCTTCTGGTTAGCGTGGGGACCACAGAACAACAATACAAAAAGCAAGGCTATACCAAAGGACATAACAGGGTTCCTGAGTATCAGGAAAAGCTACTTCTCCTTAATCCACATGTAGCTTCTGAAGTCTGTACTTTTGATCACCTGTAGCTTTCATCCCAGTTAACATTAGGATTCAGACTGGCCTACTTGAGACGTCTAGAAGACGTGAAAAGCGCTATACCAAATGCAAGGATTATTATTATTATCCGCTTTATCTGCAATAAATATAGGAAAGATGGAGAATTGATTCAGAGTTTTTGTTGAATGCACACATTTTAATGCTCTGAAAGCAACAACGACAAGATTCCATTTATAAAGCGCCTTTCACGTCAGGAGGACGTCCCAAGGCGCTGCACAGTTGGGTCAGGACCCGAGCAGGGGGAAATGGTCAGGGTGAGGGGAGGGAAGAGAGGGAGCGAGGAGGGGGGAAATGGTCAGGGTGAGGGGAGGGAAGGGAGGGAGCGAGGAGGGGGAAGAGAGTCGAGAGGGGAGCTGAAGGCTCGGTCAAAGAGAAAGGTTTTGAGACCGGCCTTGAAGGAGGAGAGGGAGGAAGCAAGGCGAAGGCACTGGGGGATGGAGTTCCAGAGCCTGGGGGCTGAGAGGCTGAAGGCCCGACCACCGATGGTAGGGCGATTGGGGCGGGGGACGTGGAGCAGACCGGAGCCGGAGGAATGGAGGGTATGGGCAGGTAGGTAGGGGGATAGTAGGTCTGAGAGGTAGGAGGGAGCAAGGCCGTGGATGGCCTTATAGGTGAGGATGAGGATCTTGAAATCAAGCACAAAAAAATGCTAGATCAAAATCTCAGCAAACCATTTAATCTAGTAGAGACCTGATATACCTGTAATCATACATACGTGTTAAAAATTGTCAATTGTTACAGAGGGAATGAAAATTTGTTATTCTTTTTTATCCCATACTGGAAATCATAGGCATTTGTAAAGTCAACATCTTAGGAGCCCTCATCTCTTCCTCATCCGAAAACAGCGCTGGAAACATTTGGATAAAAATGCAGGAAGAGAAAGAGCAAGCTTCATGCAATTTTTCTCCACACAAGTTAAATCGTTAAAAAGATCTGTCAATCATACCTCTTAATTGTTCTTCTGTTTCAAGTCTGATTTTGTTAATGGCTTCATCTCTTGAAATCTTAAATAAAAACAATCACATCACATCAATAAATCAATGAATATGTTTATTTATTTTTTAATATGGCGGTGACAGGAGGAGGAATGACTTACTTTGTCATGGCTGAAATCTGAAAAGACCGCATGCACCTTCTCAGAAGCAAGCCTGAGAAACAGAAACAAAACATAATTGCAATGGGTTCAATCACCTAGCTACCGTGGCACGGCTGAGTCTGGCTGCTCAGACACTGGCACCTCTTCTTGACAGTGTGGCCTAGACTAGCCCCTTTTCGAGACTGGTGGCAACTGCTAATATTACGACAGCATTGTGGCCGTTCTATGTTAATAGCAGCATATAACATTTTTTCAAACAAGATTCTAACTGCTGTTCAACAGAGTTGCAAGAGTTCTGCTATTGAGTGAAAGACCCTTATAAAACAGTTAACACAACGCTTGTGGGTTTTGGTTTGTTCACCCGAGTGAAAGCTGCCTTAACCTTTGCTCTTATTCATTGGCGAAGTGTATAAAATTGGCATCAGCTGTGAGATCACAGAAGAACTTACTGTCTTGCATATTCTACTGCCTCTGTGGTGGGTGTAAAGAGCTTCTGAGGGGTCCGTTTGACATTCCCGTGATCTTTTGCGAGCTGCTGAATGGCCAGTATGACCTGTTGTGTGTGCTTTACACCCATTTTGACGGCATGACAAAAATCCTGTTGCAACACATTCTCTGCTGACGCTTCGATCATAACTGGTGAAGGGAAAAACAAAGAACTGAAGCAACAATAGTTTTCGCTGGGCCGCGATCTTTCCTTTTTTATTCTTTGCTATATTGTCGTGAGCCAGTAAACGTGACCAAATAAAAAGGACTTGATCTGAGAGGAAACTATTTTTGAGTTTAGATGTCAGCCTGTCTCAGTTGATGGCACTCTTGTCTTCGTGTCAGAAATGTGTTAGGACTTTGAGCTCTCTCTAGTCTGGCTGTCACTGCAGTACTGAGGGAATGCTGCATTGTTGAAGGAGCATATGTTAAACCGAAGTTTCATCTGCTTATACCGGCAAACATTAAAGATTCCACGAGACTATTCAACATAAGGCGCTATATCAAATGCAAGGATTATTATTATTATTATTATTATTTCAGTGCTACTTGATGCCAAGCCGCCTTCAGTTGTCCTCCCAATATGATACACATGGAAATTTATGTGTTGTATTTTATTTCTGTGCTGTGACAGTTGTGCAACAAATGGCTTTGTGTATTGTACATATGATGCTTATTATTTATTTCCAAATCATCACACCATTTTTTCATTGTGTTATTAATTTAGGTACCTTGAAGTCTACTTTGGAGCTTTCTCCCCGTTATCCTGTCTTATGTTCCTCTGTTAATGCATATTTATCCCCCAATTCAAATTAATTGGCTACTCTTCTCATTGTTGTTTATGGGGTATTGCTGGCTTTATGGGGTAGTGGTGGCTGCTTTTGTTTATATGACAATATTCACTTTCATTTCTTATTAGTTATATATTATAAAGTGCTTTGACATATTTATTGGGTACAGTATACCTATTTTGAACCGATTTCTGTTTTTACTGAGATGTGTTTTACACTTAGATTTCCATTGATAAGGAAACTAAATGGTCAGAATGAAAATTATAACCTTATTCTGAATCCAGCAAAAAACATTTGCACTTTTACCACTCTCCCTCAAACCTCAGTATTGAACATATTGTGTATAGTACAGTTAAGGTACAGAATTTTAAGATCCTTGCAAGCCGAGCCATGATGGGTTGAGCGGTCCTAGCTGGACAAGCAACAAGAAGCTTGCTGGTGTTCATTGTGTAAATTGTGTGGTTTAAGATGGTTAAAATCCAGCAGTATGCCAAGATTTTAGGCTCCCCACAACATGGTTCTTGCTGTACTTTGGATGAGATACTAAACCATGGCTGTCTGCCTCAGGGCTTATTCGAAAATCGAAGGGAGTTTCTTTCAGTGTCCTAACAAACAATCACTCAAAATAAAAAATGGTCATTCACTTCACTGTTTATATTCCCCTATAAGGTCATGCATCTTATAGTATATCCTATGAAACTCATAGGGACATCCTCTCGATGTGAAAGGGCCTATATGAAATGTAAGGATTAATATTATTAAACTCCATCAGACATGTGAGAACTATATATATAGATTCCATATATATGTGGCGGTCCATAACCTAGTGGTTAGCGCACTCGCCTAGCAAGCGGGTTTGATTCCCAGGCAGGGAATCCTGCCTACCTTACCTTTGGTAAGTTTCCTCACTCGACACGTCTCTATTTACCTAGTAGTAAATAGGAACCCAGTTGTTAGTCGATTTGTGAATCGCTTTCCAGGGGTAATAATCTCTCCAAAACAATTACAAATTTGTATACTCAATTAACAACTGTTTGTGGGACACTGTTGTGCTCAATTGGCTGCTGCATTTGGCCACAAAATACAGTGAATCCACTTTGCAATATATTTTTTGAAACACTTGAAACATGTGGTCAATATGATAAGGCACTAATCAAATGCAAGGATTATTATTATATGTGGATCTTGCAGTGGTTTCGTTTTGGAAATTCTTAAACATGGTGATGGGTTTCTGTGTGTGTCAGATACCTTGCTGACCATCCCCCCAAAAACAGATCTCATGCTTTTAATCTTTTTATTCAGCAAGATCAAGGAGACCCAGCCAATTCATACTATATTTCCTGAACCATCCTGGCCTCTATATCTGCTCAGCAATCAGAATAGGGCTCCCACTCTATTCACCTAGAGGCTACGTGAAAGCTGAGAGGGAAGATAAGAGGCAAGGGAGAAAATGAAGGAGTTTATAGATTAGGGAGAGAGGAAGAAAAGAGGAAGTAAATTGTACTTTTTTTTAGCTCCGATAATAGCAAAACTTTTCAAAGCCCTTCAGGGTAAGCTCCTGTTATGGTAGGTAATTTTCACACAGCAAAGTCTCACAAACAACTATGAGGTGAAAAAATTGAGTTAAAGAAAAACTTCCTATTACCTGCCCTGAAATTCCCTTTACAACTCTATTTCCTCTTGTTCTATTTTCTTCATGCATCCTAAAGTGCTGGGTTTACTTTTTCAATCCCATTTAAAATTTTAATATACCTCCATAAGGTCCTCTCTAAGTCATCCTCTCTGAACAGCAACAAAAACAACTTGTATTTATTTACAGTAGTACCATTTAGCATCTCAGAGCGCTTCAAGACTAAAGACCTGCAGCTTGTCTAATCGTTGCTCATAGATATTCCTCTAACTCTGGGGATCATCCCAGTTGCTCTCCTTTGTACTGCCTCTCGGGCCTAGGTAGCCCCCTTATGTCATGGTGTCCAGAACTGTATGCAGTACTTTGGGTGAAAATCGCAGGAAGAATTGTGAACAGTCACAAATATCATTTTACTATCGTATCTTGCTATCTCAAAACAGTGTGAGATAGAAAATAAAAGCAAACAAGGTACTGGGCTACATTGCTAAATCAGTTGAGTTTGGATCCCCAGATGTCAGACTCGGTCTGTACAGTGCTCTGGACAGGCCACACTTAGAGTCCCTCATACATGCCTTCAGTACAACCAGGCTCGACTATGCCAACGCCCTGCTTGTCGGCCACCCCAATTCTTCCCTTCACAATTTGCAGATCATCCAGAATTCTGCAGTTTGTGTCCTTTCCTGCACCAGACTCCGTGATCCCATCACCCCCACCCTCGCCCGGCTCCAATGGCTCCCCATCCCTCAGAGAATCATTCAAAATCCTCATCCTCACCTTCACCTCACCTTCAAGGCCCTTCATGGCCTTGCCCCCTCCTACCTCTCTGACCTGCTAACCCCTTATCAACCTGTCTGCTCCCTCTACTCTGGCCTGCTCTATGTTCCCCTCACAGCCCACCATTGGCAATCGGGCCTTCAACCTCTCTGGCCCCACCCTCTGAAACTCCATACCACATTCGCTTTGCCTCGCTCTCTGCCTTGCCTCCTTCAAAGCATGCCTCAAGACTGTCTTCTTTGACCATTTCCTTGGCCACCCTCCTTCGGTCACCTTTCTCCCCCCACCCTCCTACCCCCTCTGCCTTCCACCCTTCCTGATCACAACCGCCCCCCTGCTCAAGTCCTGATCCCTGACTGTCCTCCCGATGTGAGAAGTGCTTTATAAATGTAATATTGTATTGGATAGAGTTCTGGTCACCATGACACAAGGATTAAGTTTAGGTAATAATAATAATCCTTCACAGGATATACTGTGTATCTTGTGGGCGAAATGTGGCAGTCAGTTGCACACAGCGATATCCCACAAACATGGAGTGAGGGACCAATTTTATTTGAGGGGTTGTTCATCGGGACACTTGGGAGAAACTCCCTTCTCTTTTCAAATAGTGCCATGAGATCTTTAACATCCACATGAACAGGCAGGCGAACCTCGGTTTATGTCTAATCCAAAGACTGCACCTTGAACAATGCAATGCATCCGCAGCACTGCATTGAAGTGTCATCTAGACTATGTGATTCCAAGCCCCAACTTGGGGCTTTGAGGTCCACAGCTTTCTGCCTCAGAGGCGAGAGAGCTACCACTGAGCCAGGCTGAACTACAGACTCCCAGGTGTCATTCTCAATCATTATATCATAATAATAATAATCCTTGCATTTGTTATAGCGCTTTTCACATCTTCTCGATGTCTCAAAGTGCTTCACAGAATATACTGTAAAGTGAATTGACTGTATATTTGTGGGCGAACGCGGCAGCCAATTGCACACAGCAATGTCCCACAAACAGTTGTAGATTGAAAATGACCAATTTATTATTGTTTTGGAGGGATTATTATTAGGCTCTGTGTGGAGTAAGGAAACTTGCCCAAGGTTTCGTCCTGCCTGGAATTGAACTCAGGTCTCTCGCTTGCAAAGGGAGTGCTCTAACCACTGAGCTACAGGACTCCACAATCATGGTAAGTGTATGCAGTGCAACAGCAATAACAACAGCAAGTTGTGTTTGTTTGGGTGCCCCTCACACAGGGTATCTTTGACTCATACTGCAGTACAGTTCCACAGAGGTCAGAATCTCACCAGGACTTCTGTTTCCGCGCCTTGGGACATCCTCCCGACGTGAAAGGCGCTATACAAATGTAATCTTCTTCTTCTTGTTGAAATTATCACATTGAAATCCCTCTGTGGGAGCAGATGCAGCCTGACCAGAACATTGTACAGCTTGAGCAAGATGCCCTGAGTGGCACATCAGATTTGAACTCAACTGATTTACCAATGTAGTCCAGCTTCCTGTTAGCTTTGTCAGTTGGTGCCTCGAACTTTTGACATAGTGAGAGATGATACAATAATAATAATCCTTATATTTGATATAAGACCTTATCACATCTTCAAGATGTCTCAAAGCACTCCACAGAATATACCGTAAAGTGAATTGACTATATTTCATTGGCAAAACTATATATGATAATGAAATGGTGTCTAACTGCTCACGCCTCTTCCTGGAACTTGCTTGACTCTTGACTTCATTACCTTGACTAATCCGTGAATGATCTGTATTTTGCGTAAAAATACTGCACACTACCTTAAAATCATGTGATGCATTTTTAAGTCATTTCGCTGACGTGATAACAACAATAACAACAACAAGATTCCATTTATAGAGCGCCTTTCACGTCGGGAGGACGTCCCAAGGCGCTGGACAGTTGGGTCAGGATCCGAGCAGAGGGGAAATGGTGAGGGGAG